TTGATTGCTAATTCATAAATCATAAAATGAAATGTAAAAAATTCTATTTTTCGTAAATTAATTTTCAGCGCCTACGGTATTCAGTGTTGCATTATTTGTTACTTGTAACGATATCTTCTGTAATTTCGTGCGTAATTTAATAATAATTTCAATTACTGCATTTTAATGAAGCAGCTAAAATTAACATATTTTTAACGGCCTCTCTTGCGTACGGTAAATTCGTCGCGAGTTTGAAATTTTCTATAAAAGCTCACAACCTTTGTTGAAAGTCTGAAAGTGCAGCATTTTTGCGCCTAGAAACGAATGAAATTTAATGCTTCTTCAAGTTACATCAGATATCATTAAAAGCGGAACTTTCCGAAATGACTTCTCACAACTTCTGCACTTTACAGCTTTTTTGCACGTCACAAAATTCATGAGCCTCGAATCGTCTCCATAACGTTCATATTCATTGCGCTCTTATGCAGAGAGATATTACGCGTTTCATAAGCATGCCGCAGCGAGGTAGCGAGAACACGCTCAAGGCGCGATCGTCTACCGCGAAATTTCCTTTATTAAAAAATGCAAAACACAAAGTGCTCGCGGACAGAGGAAGCGCGGAAAACTCGCGTTAAACCAAAAACTTGAGCCAAAGTCCAGTTTTGACTTTGGTTTAAGCTTCGTGAAATTATAACGTAACCCACTTTTAACGCGGAGCGCGCTTATGGCTGCGATCGGTGCCCATCATCGATCTTTGGAGAACGCGAGAAAGTACGTGCGCGAGAAATGCGGCAAAATTTACACGCTCGAGTTACGCGAGCTCCTTCGTACAACAATGAGTCCTTAACTATCCGCGAGTCGCCGGTAGCTCTATTAGCATGTAAATGAAGGAAGTTGAGTAACGCGAATCCACAGGCGGCTTATGTATGCACTTGGACGCGCCGCCGCGTCTGGAACGAGCAGACCACGCGAGGGGAGTCGATTCGCTAGAAATGTGTTTCACTTTTCCGTCAGCTATGACGATGGATCAGCTCGACGCAGCTCGTGGCGCTACGCCGTTCTCGCTTTAGTAAACTGCTTTTCGTACCGCATCGTTCGCCGCAGCTAGGAGAAAGTGCAGCGTTTTCCTTCGCCGCTCTTCTCGCCGCTGTAGAATTTCTACGTTTAAGTCGAAGGACAACCTTTGCGCCGCAAAGATTGTAATTCTAAGTTCAACTCTCAACGATCGCGTGGCATTCTCTGTATTGTCCGCGATTTCCCTGTAGTGTCATTCTATTGTATTTGCTTTAATAACGTTCTCCATCGCTGGAATTAATATAGAGTCTCCTATTATGAGATAGGCTCCTAATACGAGATAGCAGGGTTTTCGCTAAATTAATACATGTAGAGTGACGTCTGTTGCTTCCACCATGAATTTATTGCCCTTGGAGTTAAGTCTGTTTACACGGAGAGGATTTTCTTTTAAAATTTTCAGTGAAAATCATATAATTGTGGGACAGCGTGGCATTTTGCACAACTTTATGAGAGTTTTTTGAAATTTTACCATGGAGGACAGTTTCTTATTGTAAGACAGGATCCTAATATGAGAAATAGCGGGGTTTCTGTTAAATTAATAAGTAACAGTTAATTCCACCATGAATTTATTGCCCTTGTAGCGAAATCTGTTTAGTGGAAAATTCACTGTTGGATTGTGTAATGTTGCAAATCTGATAACTCATAATAGGGGACTTTCCTCTAATAACGCAGGGATTACGAGTGCAAGGAGGAAAATCGTTAATAGCGGAAGAAATCGCTAAAATGACAAGTGCCAGTTCTTTTGCCGTCGAACGGGTTGTACGGGAAAATAATTGAAATTGAAATCCGAAAACAAGTTTGTGATTATCTCTAACGGACTCGTTCGCTTAAACGGAAAGGGAACGTTGCGACAGTACATGGACACGTTGTTGTCTTCGTTACAGGCGATTTCTTCGGCGCGGAGGATATCCGCTGACTCAGAGCTCGGCGTAACACGTCTCTCGGCGGTTAAAAAATTATACTAAACTTTCTACTATCTCTCGATACGTTTCACGTCCCGGAGAGATGGACGGGGGCGCAGTGGCCCAATTCGCGGCGGAAAAAGGCTTTTCGCGGCGCGGCGCGGAAAAGCGATCCAATCAACGGAAACAAAGGGAGCAAGATTGGTGGAAAATGCGTCCTTTATGTATCCCGCTTTTCGTGCAATGACTGCCGTTGAATCGTCACCAAATGGACGCGCGCTATTGCTTTACATCGCTGCGACAGATCAATCCAGCACAATAACGGCATTCGCCGTAACGCAAGGGACATGTGTATGAGAGAGACAGAGAGAGAGAGAGAGAGAGAGAGAAAGAGAGGGGGGAGGGGGCGCTTCTGACGTAGCGTTAAAGAGTTAAAAAAATAATATAAAATATAAAGTTAAAAGATTTTTTAATTTAAACGATACTTTGCCCATTACGAAAAGACTAATTGATGTTGTGTCAGTTTTCTTTGTTGCGTGCGCATTATCTTTTAATTTTTTTTTAAATAAAATACATCGTGGCTTCTATTACATTGTATCACTTCCATACGTATAATATGTTATACATATTATCTGCAGCAATATCGCGTGGCATTCTCTCTTATTGCGCGTAGCATTCGTTAAATACGGTGACAGCTACAATGCAATGTATATGGTGCATCTTTTAAATCAT